ACAGCAGCGGAACGCTTGAAGCTGCCGGGTGGCGAAACTTTCGGTCTCCGAAGCTTGAACTGAATAAACTTATTTTCTTTGTAAAGCACTTAGATTCTGATATTTTGTTGCAGCAACAGAAAATAAACTAATACGCTACGTTAGTCCGTGCGTCACTGATTCTTGTCTACCCTGTGCTACTTTAACACCCACAACTGCACTCACGCCTGCTCTAACACCTGTCTGTTCCACACTGTCCCATCATTCCATGAGAACAAGTGATATCTTTTTTTAATCTTTCGTTCCCAGAATCTATACAATACCTAGCACACTTTTAATGCACAAAATAGATACTGACTAAATAGGAAGACATTTAAAAATAAATTAGCACTTTCATAAATTGGCATAGTTTTGCTTTAGCACTCCAAATCAGATCAACCACTAAGCTTGAGAATGATACTGGCCACTAAATAGAATTTAATTTCATTAATGGAGAACATTTTAAAATCATATTAAATGCCTGCAACTTAAAAGTTATATATATTTTACCATTGAAATAAATTCAGTGAATGCTTATGCATGATGATACATCGCTTTTCTCTCCTTTAGGACTCTCTACGCCTTGTCCTGTGAACTGAGAGCCAAAGTATGGGGCCCTAGTTCTGTCCTAGGAACCTCAACTGTACAGACACTGGATTAACAGCTCTACAAAGCCACAAAGAGGGTTTTGTGATTGACACGCTGGAATTTGAGGATAAAATTTCAAAAGCCTCAGGCATGCGCTGGCTATTCTTGGCAATGATGTATCATAATCAAAATAGGAAAGGCAGAACCAGTTATACCAACACTTTAAAAGATAGCAATGCTGAAGTCCTGAGGATCTTCTGCATTATCAAATCATCTCTTGCATTTAAGCTGTTTTAGGAGATGTTATCCACAAATCCTCTAAAATTATTCCAGTATATGTACTTTTTGGTAAATAAGTTTTAATTAAATAGTTCATTATAAGGCTGGTTGGAAATAATTGGACTCAAAAATATTTCTATGAGAAATGTTTTTAATATTTTTGTTGTAAATGAAGTGATAAATAAAGGAGGATGTTCATATTTAGCTGGCCATGAATGCATGAAATCTAGAACTTCAAAAATTAATGTAATCATTAGCTAATTACTCAAGCCAAACTCTGTAAATAAGCAAAAATGTATAGCAAACTATTCATCAGCATATGGTTTTATATTACTTGTTAGGATTTGATCCTTATGTGTATTTATATTTTGGACTCCATAAAATGTAGCTTTAGTAGCAGTGTCTAGAAATCCAAGAAAAGCAGTTTATCACACCTTCTTATTCCTACCAAATAATCCTATCCATTGACCAAACCACTGTCTAACTAGAGACTGCAATGTTTTCAGGTGCATAAGTGAAGAAGTCCAATGATATATATGCTAGAGGAATTCAGGAATTTAGTATCTTTCCTGAGTGCTTAGTAGAAAGTCCATCCTGTTATAATGCCAAGCCTGCCTATTCTGCAGCATTAAGATGGCTCAGTGTAATGGCTGAATTTATTGAAACTGAGCAGATAAGGACTTGCGGCAGAACAATGGTAAGCCAGCTTTTACAAGCAAGCAAGCAAGGAAAAACCTATGCTTTCACAGCACGGTCAGTTACACCTGATGGTAATCTAACCGATCGTTAACCATGTAGATGTTGAATTCCCGAATATTCCTCACTCATGGGCTACTGGGCATGCACCAGACTCATTCTCAGCTCCCTCATTTGTCTTTGGAAAATGACAGACACAAATAGCTTTAAAACTACCATGACTTTGGCATGAAATGCACTCAGGCAGATCCAGTAACGAGTTTTGTCTGTGATGACAGCTTAACAATTGTTCTTCTGCTGTCTAATAGACCCAACTCCAGCAAGTAAGTGGCTGCTGGACAAGTGGGAGAAGGAGAGTGGAGGCCCCACTGTGTAGAGCGTGCTCCACCCAGCTCATCTAAAGCTGCCACGCGCTGTCAGCTGGCAGGGTCCAAGTGCTGGTGAACACCACTCAGCGGGACAGCAGCTTCCCTACGCAGAGATGACAGATTTCGATGGTCTTGAAAGCGCAGGTACTAGTAACGTGCATTAAAATAGGAATGATAAGTTTGGGATGTTTATCATCTTTGCTTTTAATATAAAATTTTAATTGTAAATGTATATAATTTAAATTTTAGTGATATCTGTGTCTAACAACTAGGTTGCAAAGCTTCTAAAAATTTAACAGTCATTTCAGCAAGGCTAGTACAAGCCTCCTCTACCTGCCAGTAACTCTCCACTCACCCGCTCTCTATCAGTCACTTGACTGACAAAGCCTGTGGAATCAGACACCAAATCGGGAGCCGGCCACACAGAGCAGTGCCAAAGCGTCGCTGCACGGATCTGCAAGCTTGTTCCAAGGTCACCGTCAAGAGGTCCCCTGACATTTTCCTCTCCTTTTCTGTAAATGACGGCAGCAGCAAAGCTGTGATCATCTGTCACTTCAGGCCCAGAGATGTCATCGAGTTTAACTCCAAAATAATGAGACTGGATGTAGGAACAGGAATGCAAGCCAGGACCAGACACAGAGACCCATTCTGCTCGCTCTTATCTCTCCACTTCCTGGAACTCCATCCTGGCAAATGCTAGTCCTGTGAACAAAGCCCACCACTCACAGAGCTGAATGCGCTCATAATTGGCTAAACTAATTGGGAGCGATCAATAGTTCCTCAACTAAGACCGCTCTCATCCAAGCACTACGAAAAAAATGGATGTTTTCATGTAATCTCATTACTTCTTAAAATGAAAATCAGGCCTTCCCTTTTATAAGAGGGAACCAAAGCTTAGGAAAATCACCCTGCCAGGACTCTAGTGAGAAAAGACAGAGAGCAATGTGAATGTAAGTATGTCTAGCTTCCGAAATTACATTCTGCATGATTATGCTATACTGCCCAGGGCAATAATTAAAATATTTATGATGATAATGACTGACATCCACTGAGTGACAGTTAAGTACTAAGTGTTATTCTAAGTGCTTACACACACTAATTCAGCCCTCAGGACAACCAAACATTAGTTAGCCTATTTCCTCAATTCTAAGATACCACCTGATATTGACACAACACTGATTTGCAAACACCATTCAAGGAGAGATACATAGTATGTAAATATCATATAGGTATATTATGCATCTCAAAGTAATAAATATTTTGAAATGAAAAGCGTACAGCTTAGGACCAAGGAAGTATGGTATATTGACTCTCTTGTTAGCTAGGAAACCAAAGGAAGAAAATCTGAACTAGGCAGTACAAGATGGGAGACAAAAGTTCTACATTACTGGAAGAGCTCACCATTGCTGAGCTCCTGACACCTGCTGGAAGGGTTTGATATGCTACTAAACCAGTGTGACACGCAGCTAGGACAGCAGGATGTTCCTACTGGGAATTAGAGTAAAGAAAAATGGAACCACTTATCTAAGGGAAAAAGGGCTAAATTTTAGATTACTCTTGAGGAACTTTCCATATTGAGACCTGTGAGCCTGCAGTAAATCAGAAAATGAGCAGCTGCCACACAATATGTTGTCTCAGTGGTGACACCTAACCGAGGTCTTCGGGGCTGAGGAGAGATCTGTCTTTCTCAAATAGCATGTCCTCTCACTCACAGCTCGCTGTGCCTTTGCCCACAGGGCTGGGAGAATGGAACCTCCATGGGGGTATTCTGGCGGTGGTGAACATCATCAAATTGCTTCAGATTTGGCAAAATCAGATGCAGCTTGTCCCCAAGTAGACGAGACAGGCAACTAGGCCAAGTGCCCAGCACGTGTCTCCAAAATGAAAGGAAAATGAACAACACAGTCCACGATGAGAAGTCTGCCTGGTGTTATCCCTGCTCTCTCTCTGTTTCAGTCCCTGTCTTTCTGTCTACACAGATGCAAAATGGGGGCGTGAGTGGAAGTACACCAGTCACACAGTGGACTCACACGGGAACGAATAAGTCATCTTACATGGGAGATCATAAGGAGATGAAGGCTAGAGCAGAAGGCCCATCAGTGCTCCGATATTGCACACAGGCGAGGCCTCACAGCTAGGAGGACTGGAAGAAACTTGCGCAAGGATCATACAGTAATAATGTATGATTTTATCTGTTTATCTACAAAGATGTCAGGATCACCATCCACAGCTTTTGAGAACAAGAAGATGTCCTCTGCAATAGGACATTTTTGAGTCTACTGGTGTGACTTCCACAGGCGCAAACTTCTATGGGAAAAAACCAGCCTGATAGAATGAATCCATCTGTTTTGGAAAATGTATGTGGTTACGTTTATAAAAAACATTGAAACAACCAGAATGACAACATGATTTAATGACAGTAATAAAGAATAACAGAAAAATCGGAATTGCTGAATGTTAATTCAAATTTAATAATTTTTAAAACAAATTTAATTGTGGAATGGAATTGGATTGGAAAGAATAATGAAATTGACTGTCTTCAGCTTTAAGTGCAAATTTTCACAGAACCAATCCATTCCCCCTGTATTTCCTTTCCTTTCCCAATTTCCCTTCCTTCCTTCCCCCTTCCCATCCCTCCTTCACCCCTTACTTTTCTCTCCTCTCTCTCCTCCCTCTTTCTTTCTCTCTCCCACACACACATACATTTTGTAAACAGAGTTTTTTAAACACAGGATGAACCCATCAATCATAAGAACACTTCATTTTATAAGGTTCTCTGCATTTTAAATAATTTTATTACGTGTATCTTTAACTACCAGATTAGCTCCAATTCACAACTGTTTTCCCAATCCAGAAACCGTAATAATTGTCTCAATTATAAATTACATCATCTCCCTCATTTCACTGAAATTCTCAACGGTGTTCTGATCCTAATTACTTGAACAGGGTTCAAATTAGGGTTCTTATTTATGAGACAGAAAGCCACAAAGTAAAACCAAAAGGATGTTTTGTTTAGTTTTGTTTTATTTGTACTAATACAATTTCCTGAATTTTCTATTACTACTGTGACACATTACCACATATTTAGTGACTTAAAATAACAAATGCATTATCTTAAAGTTGTGCAGCTCAGAAGACCAAAGCACATTCCACCCCACCTGGCATTATGGACTGGCTGCAGCCTCCCCCAAATTCACAGATGGGAGCCGAATTCCAATGCACCTAGAGCTGGGCTGATGAGCCAGCATTAAACTTCAGGCAGGTTGTAAGGATGGGGCTCAGTCCAGTAGAACTGATGTCCTAACATGAGTAGGAAGAACCCCCATCCCGACGGTTACCCTGACGGAACCCTGATCTTCCATTTCCAGGATTAAAACTCGGGCATCAGCATTGCTGGGCTCCTGCTGCAGGCAGATGTGCTTCCTGTCTTGTCCAAGTTCTAAGTTGTGTCTGTGTTCCCGGACTTCTAGTGCTCTCCCTTGTCTCTCAACCCGCAGGGGCACTGTGGTCCTGTTCATCCCAGCACTCTGACTTCGGCTCTGCCTCACTGCCCACATTGAAGGGATTACTGTGGGCTCAAATGCAGAATCCAGGAGGGTCTCCCTACTTCAGTGTCCGCAGATTAGAGATCTTAAATCCATCTGCAACTTAATTCTTTTGACCACGTATATCCTGACATGTTCACAGTCTGTGTGAATTAGCGTGAGGGTATTCTGCAGGCAGGAGGGGAATTGCTCTTCCTAACACAATGAACAACTACAAAACGAGTTGAAAACATAGCTGCCCTTCATTTCAACGAAAAAAGAATCCCAGAGAAGAATTCTGTTATCCTGGCAAGGGCCACCTTCCCATTCTTGTGGTAAGAATGGGATTAGGAGCCAGGCGATATATCATAATCCAGCCCCAAATGAAAGCACCTCTTTGCAGGGAGTCAGGGAGCAGGGCGTGGTCAGAAGAGACGCTTCCTGTACGGAGGCCGGCTGAGGACAGACCAGAGCCTGCTGTCCAGTGAGCTGCTCTTCCCTCGGACCCGGCAGCCTCCTTCGAGGACCTCAGTCCTCAGGGCAGAGGACACATCTGACGCAGCAACTCCATCCTGCTGGCTTTCCCTTTCACACCTTCTCACAGACAACCTGTCGATTTAAACCTTCATCCCCCAGCTGCGAATTCTTCTCCAAGAGAAGTAGATTTCCGGAATGCTCCGGCTCCAGCCTGCTCTCCCACCACCTGACTCGGGAAATTCCTTTGGCTTCCTCTGCCCTGCTCTTGCATTACCCTGTTTCAAGAATTTCTGCAAATGCTTTCCAAAGGTGCAGGGCATCTGATTTTGCTGTAGAGATATTTATGGGTGCCCGGTTTCCCTTCCATTCCAAGTCTCTTTCCCTGGGACGCTGAGACGACTGTCACAATGCCAACCTCCAGGCCATTTGACTTCTTTCTCCAAAAGGAAATTTAACTCTCAAAGAGGACTTTTTCATTAGAAAGGATCTTCTTGGTTGAAAATTAGGTTTTACTAGGAGTGGTTTCATAAAATAAAAAATTGAATTCTGGCTTAAAAAAAGACTAAGAAACCATCCTGGCATATCTTTCACTGTATGTTATTTTTGTACAAAGTGGAGTTTATCTTAAGATGCTTATCAACTTCAGTTTACTATTCTAGCAGGGAGTTCCAAGATCAAAACACATCCCTGTGATCCCCTTACAGGAAGCAAAATGAAGACAATGACTTATTTTTAGGCAAATGAAAGGATGTTTTAAGTTGAGATTTACTAAGGCAAAATTAAGTAAATTATCTAAAGTTAATAGAAAATGTACAAATTTGACATTCAGCATAGCAGATTTTTAGCCGAAAGTATTTCCCCTCAGGATGCATTGCCCTAGTTCCATCTAAGGCTCGCTCATCTTTTATTCTTTATATTTCTTCTAAAAATCATAGGTACTCATAGCTACATGACATTTTCATAACATAATGCTATTGTTCATATGAGTAATTAACCAGGAAAATAGCTTTGCTTGCACACAGAAGAACAAATCAGGCGAAAACATTATCCATCTACATCTGTTGTATGGTGTTTGGACCAATATGAACTTTGCAATTGGATGAGTCACTTTTCCATTCATGGGGTAAAATGCTTGACAGCTACAGTTTAAGAGAAAAGAGGATGATTTTTGGCTCGTGGTTTTAGACGCTTTAGTCTGTGTCTGTCTTGCTCCAAAGTAGAGAGAGCATGGTGGGAAGGGATAGCAGAGAAGAGCTGCTCCGCCCACTGCAGCAGGACACAGGGAGAGAAAGGAGGAGGAGTGAATGCAGCCTCTCTGTCCTCACTCTCTGTGATGCCTTGGACCAGACACTTCCTGCTAACAGGAGGGAACTCAGCCAAGCAAGGCCCTGAGGAGAGCAGCCCCCCGGTTACCCAGCACCTGGCCCAGCCCTGCCCCTGAACACAGCAGATTTGAGGGGACATCTAAGATCTAAACATAACCATAACTGTTACATGTCTACTAACCACATTCTTCTCTGAGCCTCACCCAAATTACATGAATGAGATAAAAAGACATTTTTAGATTTGGGCAAAATTTGCTTCTCCAAGAAACTATCTGACATTTGCAAATCTTCCTGTAAAGGTATCTTTGTCCCCTTACATTGTTGGAGCTCTGCACCAGGGCCTCTGGCTTGGACAGTGCTGGCCCACACGCGGGGCTCCCCGTCCTGGACTCTACTGTGACCCTGGGTCTCCCCCTGCCCACCAGGGCCCAGGAGCTCCAGCATCTACCCAGCTCCGACCCCACATGGCAAGCACTCATCCTAGACAGCATTTCTGTCTTCTTTAAATTTCATGTCCAGTTCTGTGTCAGATAGCTCAAACATTTCCACACCTCACCTGCTCCCCAGACTGCATACACCAACAGCATCCTGCACCAAGCTGTGACTCTTTAGCCAGAAAATCTGATAAAATCAACGTTCTCCTCAAAACTCTTCCTCATAAAGGGAAGAACAAAAATCTTCTCATTGCTTCTAGAATAAAATTTAAAATCTCATTGTTTCCTAAATCTCTCCCTTCATCTTAGTGCTTTTTTTTCTGAATTTCAGCTTCCCAACCGTGCCTGCTTTCTGCACACTTGACTGCATTGTACAACACTCAACCTCAGGACTTTTGCACAGGCTGCTCCTTCAGCCCAGAATTCCCTGTTACCCCTTTCCTTATAGGATGGCTTAAATATTAGTTCCTCTTGCAAAATCTCCCTGAGGCAGATTTCTTCTGTCCTGTGCTTTCCTTTGGTGACAGCTGAATAATTAGCCGATTGTTTGTATACTGCATAGTAGTCATTATTGCTTCCTTTGCCCTCAGAATGGATTGTATCTGTGTCACCTCTACATAGCACAACATCAGACGCAGAGGAAATGATGATTTTAAAAGAGACATTAAGTGCGTGAACCCTAAGATGCTGCTGCTTGTTGCCCTTGTAGAACTTTTGCTTTGCTTTATTACGGGGTTGATTCCAGTTGGGCAGCTTCCTCCTAAAGCTGTGTTCATTTGCACTTCCCTGCATTATGGACGGATGCCCTCAGTCCTGTTCTGCCCCTGCTCCAAAGGTGACAGAAGGCCAGGATGTGGCCAGGCAGGGCTGCATCAGCCCCTGCACCTCACTTAATTCCAACCATGAGGACATGCAGAAAGTGGGTGTCACGGGGCTCCTAGTCTCAGGGCCAATGACTCCCTGAGGGGCCTGGGTCTCCCCGCACCCTTTCCGGCCCCAGTGCCATTTTCCCATGGCCACAGTGACGACTGCCAGCCGCTGCCCGCTGCCCACTCAATACTAACAAAATACACAAGTCATGATTTCTGCGTTCAAAGAGCTCCAATTTCAATTGTATAAAAATGAGTCAAAACAAAAGCTATGACTGAAGCAGCTTCGTGGTCCCATTAGACCAAACCCTAAAACCAGGAGGAAGTGGTAGTGGGAGAGAAAGCGGTTCCAGGGAAAGAGCAGCAGCCAGGGACCCCAGAGGGGCAGCGTATGGGGACAAGGAGGGGTGACCAGCAGCGTCTGGAGACACCGGCTCTATGGGGCCATCCTGGAAACCTCTCCCCTTGCCCAGTACTCACCTTCCTGCAGCTGTAGGGAACAGGGGCCAGGCGCGGTTTACATCTGATTTCAGTGTGAATACTCAGACTTCAGGGGTGGGCTTTCAAAGCCCAACCAAAAGGCCGAATCCCTGCGCGGTGAAAGACAGAGGAGACACCTGTCTCATCGCTCCCACTAGCAGTGCACCTGATGCCAGGTCCCACGGGGGTCTGAGCACAGCCTGTCCCCCTTCGGGGGCTGAGGGCTGGTTGTGGCCACAGGGGCTGATGTCACAGGCACAGGACATCACAGCTAGGGGTGCAGGGCCTCCGAGGGGCAGCTTGTGCTGTACTAGGGACCGAAGGGAGAACTGGAACCAAACAGATATTTCAGAAGTTACCAGCACTGTGGAGTCTTGGAAAAAATAATGAGAACAGGGATATGGATCGGGTTTCTTGTGTCAAAGCAAAACCGTCCTTTCTATACTTGGCTTCAGTATAGAAGAAGCTATGAATAAAACAGGGGCTAAAAGAAGCATTGCTTGTGAATGCTCTACATTTGACCGCCACCGATATCATTGTATTAAATTTTATCAATTTCTTACTCGTTTTCAGAGGTCTGTCTTTTTACAAAAGAAAGAATATAGTATTTATAGAACGTAAGGAATCTATTTTGTGTATAAATCAGGCTATTTTTAAAGTCGGCAAATGTTTGCTCAGTAACTCTCCTGTTTGATTTTTGTGTTTCTTTGTTTGCAGTCCCTGAGACAGAACCCAGGGCCTTGCACTGAGCTACAGCCCCAGCTCTTTATTATTATTATTTTTACTTTGAGACAGGGTTAAAACTCAGAAGCACTTGTCCACTGATTCTCCATCACCTGGGCATCTACTGAGTCCTCCCAGGGGAGGGAGGAGCAGTCCCTCCTGTTGACAAGGGCGTCTTCCATATTCTCAGGGTAGCACTGACTGTCCAGGCCGGCTCCTCTGTAGCGGGGCCCAATCAGTCTGCTAACCACCACTGGCTCCAAGGAAGGGAGCGGTCGTGCTGAGGCTGAGAGCCGAGAACTCTGCCTTCTGCTCTGCTCACTGCTTCTGCTGCTGATTTATTGGCTAACCCTGAGTAGCACCCTGCACACTCTCCCTTTGTTCCACTGAGCCTGGCAATGCTGGCAATGCCTGCAATGTGGGCATGGCCTGGGGCATGACTAAAAAGTAGGTGGGGACCAAAAACATGTTTGGGACAACTCAGGAATGTCCCTGAGATGGCTCATGGCTGAGTCGCTGAGCGGCCGTGACTCAGCCAGTTTCCGCCCTGGCTGTCTGTCTGTCCGTCAGTCGGTCTGTCTGGGGAGTCTGCCTCCTCCGAGGGCACTGGTGGGAGATTCCAGTCAGCCGTGTTCCCGCTGGGAAGTGGAAAGTAAGTTTGCTATTTGGAACCCGGTCGGTCTCTGGCAGAGATGCCTGGAACTGACCAGGTTTGTGGGTGTGGCAATGTTAGGAGGTGTACTAGGCCGCGCTGGCTGCCTGCAGTGAAATCGCCTCTGCCCTGGGAGCCCCTGGGACATGGTGCCCTAATCAGGACATTGGAACTCTTCTCTGGACGGTTCTATAGAAAAATACCTTGATTCTTGCATTTGAAAAGTGAGAGAGACTCCGTTGGCAAGGCTGTGACTAAGAGGCGTATCTGCACGGGGTTTCTTACCAAATAAACACCACAGTGGAGCTGTTGGGAGGAGAAGGGAGGCAGGACTTAGGTGGCGTGGCAGGGTGGCGGGTCCTGATGCCCGGGCACCCTAGACTCCCCCTCAGTGGAGCTCATTTTCCTCCCAGGTCACACTGTGCGCAGGGGACGCGTGGTTTCTGTTGGGGTTTTGATAGTTGGATATTCATATTTGGATGTATAGGCTCAGGAAGAAATTCAAACACATCTCTCCGTTACACTTCACTGTAACCCGGTGTTTCTTTATGATCGAAGCCAGGTAAGTAAGGCCAAGCGCGAGCACTTGCTCAGCTCTATTGGGCAACAGAGCCATGGCCCTCTGCTTCGGGAATCGGGGTTCTCCAGCACTGCGCATGTCCCTCGGGGCCCCCAAACCGGGCTGGAGCTGTCTTCCGTGAGCCCTGGCCCGCCCTGGTGCGCTCCTCCCTCCGTGGACTCACATTCATGAATCTGAAGACGACGACGGCAGCTTCTAACTGCCCAGTTACACATGAACTCCGAGGAGGTCCCAGCTGTCTCCGAGTGAGGTAGCTGCTATTTCCTTGGGGCAAAACCTTCCAGTCAGACCTTAGGGGAGGGACTTCGGAGCCACTTCTGCCTCGGAGCTGGCTCCCAAATGCGGGTGAATGTTCACACACACACACAGACAGACACACACACAGACACGCACACTCAAGCAGCCTCGGGTTTTCTCTTGCTGTCAGGCCCCAGGAGGCTGAGGTGGAGCTCTGGAGCGCAGCCTCATGGTCCACATCCAGCGTGGGGTCCCTGTCAGTCTACAGCTGCGACCCGTAAGCCGCAGGGGTGGACGCTGTTAGGAGGATCTGGTGTGAAGATGCCTCTTGCCCTTCGCAGTGACCGGAGAGGAGACCCCAGGTTTCCGTGCAAACTGCTCCCTGCTTCCAGCTGGGTGAGCCTAAGCACTGGCAGGCTTCAGCACTCCCTGCAGGGCCAGTTCCCTTCTGTGGGGTGCACTGGGACTGCACCCTCCACTGCTGAGTTCCCTTTCCCCACTTCCTCCCGGCCCTGTGCCAGTGCCCTGGGGCCACGCCCCCTAAAGCCCCTGGCCGGTGTCCTGGGCCTGAGTCAGCTGACTGGACTAGAACGGGGAGAACTGAGTAAGAGCTGCACTATTAGCTAGGTGTGGTGGCACACCTGTGATCCAGCATTCTGGGAGGCTGAGACAGGAAGGTAGATCTAAAACTGAAGCTGAGAGTGGCTGACTTAGCAACTCACCAAGACCCTGTCTCAAAATAAAAAATAAAAGGGGTAGGATGTGGCTGGGCGCAAAGGAAAGGCCCCGGGTCCAATCCCTAGCACCATAAATAAGTAAATAAAGTAAGCAAGTAAATAATTTTTCAAAAGTGTTCTAAAACACAGAACTTACACATCGATTGGACATAAAATTCTAACTCTGTTCCTTCATCACTGTGAAAACTTGGCAAAGTATTTTACCCTGTAAACCTCAATTTTCTACCTACAAAGTGGTTCTGAGGTGTTAACTTTTAGAAATATTTTCAAATATGGAAGGAAGCTTTGTATTTAAAGACATGTATTGCAGCGTGGTTTGGAGGTATGGTTCTCACCTTGAGGTGCTTTTGTTTCCAAAGAGACATTTGGCCACGTTGGAATTTTTGTTTGTTTCAGCAGCTCAGCGAAGGCAAAGCTACTACTGCATGAGGCTGCCGAAGAATCTGTCTCTCTTGTGGTGCAGGAAGTGCCTCCCACTGCCCTGCAGGGACAGATTTGTCCCAAGAGGCCAATAGCACCTGGCCGAGGAGCTTTCCTGGAGAGCACCAGCAATTTAGAAGCAAATACAGTATTTTAATATAGGGCATGATCAAATTATAGTTCATGCACTAACAAAAATAACATGCCATAACTGAAAAAAAATTATTTTGCCAAACATGTGTTGATAATGACAGTGAGGGTATAACAACATAAAACTGCTCAGGTCTATAAATTGTAAATTCTTTCATTCATTCATGGCAATCATTCTATTTTTTATGTTTGAAGTGCTCAACATCAGACATTGGACTAAGAGGAAGGTAGTGCTGAGGAGCCCAATAGATTGCTGTCCTGAGATTCATATTCCAGTGGAGAGCAGGGAAAACAGAAGGTACAAACTGCCAGGTGGGTGTACAAACAGAGAGATAACATAGATCTGGGATGCTAAGCGTTATCAATGAACAAGAAACTACTCTTTGAAGAGTGGATGCTTTAGCTGAGATCGTCATTGCTAGAAAGAGTGAACTGTGTTCAGATGGACAGCAGAGCTGTCCCAGGAAGTTTAAAACCAGGAACACGAAGAGCGAATGAGAAGCTGTCACAGCAGGAGCCTTGAATGACAGGACCGGTCCCCTGAACTGAGTCCCTGCCCTGCCAGATATGAAGGCAGTTGCTCACCCTCAGCTGTTTCCTCAGGCTGTTTTTACATCTGCTGTCAGGATTTGGTGTCTACTCCTTGTATTATCGTGGAAATGCAATTAAGTAATATGTATGACATGTTAATTGTTATGTCTTTTATACTGTAAGTACTTAACAGATATTTTTAATTCATTAAATGATTAATTCAAGGGACACATAGGTACAGAGAGTTACAGATGGACCCACATGTGTGAATATACGGTCTATTAAGCCCTGTACTGGGACACAGGACACACACGGTTGGGGTACCGGGAGGAAAGGTAGCATAGATGGTCTCTAAGATCCTGTTTGTGCTCTCAGTGCCAGGACTATGAGCTCCTTAGCGAGTTAAATGGTGGACGTTTTCAATACACTCATCAGTTATGTTAACTCCCTGAGCTGATGGAGAATGAGTAACTGATTATGTGACACAAGGGAGTACAAAGAGCCCAGGCTGGCGGCCAGAGCCTGGTTCTCTCCGGGTCTCTGCTATTTATTCACTTGGTTTCCCTAACAGTTCAAAGAACACCCTGAGCCTCAGTTTCTCTAAATTAATGAATACATTCGACAATGTGGTCTCCTTTATAAATCTAGGATTCTAAATATTAAGACATCATTTAGGAATGAAAGGTGTTTTTTACCAGATTTGTGTTTACTCAACTAGAATCAGTTTAGTAGAAAATATTGGTTTCCCCTCTAGAAGAAAATTAAAGCAATTTTTTAGAGTGGGAACAATGTGTGCTTGTAATTTGTATAGAATTATATTAATCACCACAAGCAAAACATAATGATTATATACTGCCTTCCTTAATGGAAACCTTTAACTTTTAGTTTACAGACAGAAATAAAGAAGGCCAGGCTTTTACAATAAGTCATTCAAACAGGTGAGCCAGTCACAAAAGGAAACTCTATAAATACCTGCAGTGGAGGAAGGAAGGACAGATGCACCTCATGGAGTGGCCTTACATTACACAGAGCCCATTCCTGAACTGGAAATGGAATCAGATGGAAGGCTGAGTTCAAACGCATGGATCCAAAATGGGCTCACCAATATTTTTGTTATAATTAAAGATACCTGTCTAATCTCATTACTAGTTCATGAGTTAAAGTGGTTTACACCACTATTTCACCACAGCACAAAATGAATGAAAGGTAAGTGAAGAATGCCCTAGCTTTGTTTTATTCAATTTAACTTAATAAAGAACACAAGCCTAATGGTTTATGGAAAGCCACATACAAATAAGATAAGGGTAGAGTCAGGATCCACTTAAAATCCATTAAAATGTCATCGACGTCACAGATCCACTTCACATGGAAAGGTAATTATACTGCCTGGTGATAAAAATATCCTCCCAAGAGGACATCTTGGCTCAGTCTTCAAGACCAGTGAATGTGTGGAAAACTATATGTAAAATAATACATGTGTTCTTATTTATTACTTCTATGCTAATTTATTGAATGAGAAGGCAGAGTGCAGCTTGTAACCCTTAAGTAGCTTTAAATAGGAAGAATTGTGTGGAAAAATTCCAAAATAGTCTTTCTATTCATAGACGAGACCACTTCTGCAACTACGTTATAGAATGGCTTGCAAATGCTGAAAATATAGATGTCGGATCATCTTGTGAGATGTGCTTAAGATTATGAACATTGTGCATAAAATTGAAAACACTCAACTCAGAAAAGGGCTTTGGTCTCTTGTTCTGAAGTTCTTCAGGAACTAAGGGCAGGAGTCGGTGAGGAGGCTGTCTCCTCCATACCACACACAGTGAATCTCCTCAAAAATTGTCTCATTTCTCATCTGTAATGAACTCTCAGAACAGCCAGAGTCTAAGAAGCAAGGTCTACTGGGAGCAATTGTATGAGCATTGTGTTTTTCTTAGTGAATAAATCTCTGAGTGCAAAACAAAATTTTTATCAATGTTGAGGTGAAATATACTAACAAAAATTCCAAACAAAACACAGCAAGGGTGGAGCCAAGAGGGGGCAGGTGGTGTTCAAATTGATGAGGGATCATTTGAACTTACATCATTTCTGACTTTATATTAAAATGATATTCAGGGGATTTGTAAAGAGAGTCAGTTTGCAACAATAAGGTGTGCAGAATGAGGCTATTCATGAGCCTTTAACACACTGCCAAAGTCGGAAAGCAGATGGCAACGTTGTGCTGTGACAGCAGGCTGGAGGAATTCGCGGCCTGGAGCCCAGGCGAGAAGGTGGCCTGGTGGGAGGGGGTGGGATGTGCTGAGAAGACACAGGAAGCCCCCCTGGAAGCACCAGCCACCATGACTGTGGGAAAGCCACTGAAATGGTGGGTGGAACGATTGCCCTTCTCCATCTCCCACAGGTGAACAGCAGAACACAGAGCACTCCGAAGACAGCTCTCCAACTCTGCAACCAAAAATTAATCTTTTAAGGATAGTTGCATGTGTAGATGCAGCCACCCCATGGAAACTCATCTAAATCCTGATATTTCAGGGAGCCAAATGCTTTCCAATTTAGACCTCTGCCCAAAGCAATCTCTGGCAACCACACACTAGAAAAACTCATAGTCATGAATTCACAGAAATGGGTCACCAAAATCCACTGGACAGTGGTGGGAAGTCTGATCTTCCCAGAAAAAGGCGATGAAACAAATAGATGATCTGGGAAACATAATTCACAGAACAGGAGAAAACACCCACAAATATAAGAGTCCTTCATCTTTTTAAAGAATACACTGTATCCTCTAACATAAGAATAGGAATCTATGAAAAAGAGGAATCAGAGACCAAAAAGTTAACTGTGGTTAGGCTTTGTAGAGAATACACTGTATTGGATAACGTAAGAGTAGGAATCTATGAGAAAGAATAATGAGAGAACACAAATTATTTCTTAAAGAGGAATAATGTATTGTCCTCAGAATTACTCATTAAGATGTTTAGAAAACAAAGCCAAGGATATCTCTCCAAAAAAAAACCTATGTGAGAGATTGATAGGAACAATTATGGAATGATGAGGACTTAATATTAAGCTAATAAAGAGTTCTGGAAAGCAGGAAAACAGAAAATATAAAGAAAAGAATTAAAAAGGCATAAATGGACAATAACTTCTGGCAGCACAGATTGGGAGAATCATAGAAAAATACTACAGTACTGCAAAATTTCAGTCCTGCAGAGACAAAGAAGAATTTCTAAGAGAGAGGAAACTGTTCAACCACAAAAGAATGATAATCAAACTGATATTCAGACTTCTTAACCACAGAATCGGATCCTGAAAGAGAAGGCTTCAAAGTCGACCACAGCAAGATAGTTGCTGTCACGCCTTCAAGGTAACCTACGATGACTTCCCACATAGCCATTCTTAGGAAACTCCTTAAGTATGTAGCCCAGAAAAAAGAGGGAGGTGAACAAAGAAGCAAACCAAAAGAAAACAGACGTATAGAATGTGGAAAATAGGGAATCTGACCCTTGAGAATCATAGAGAAACATGCCAGAATGGTTTGTAGAGTAACCCACACAGATTCAAGCAGGACAATGGGTTAGAAAAGCAAATTATTTCAGGAGGAAGAAAAATGGGGGGGGGGACATATAATAAATTTAAAAGAACAAAACTCAGCAAAAGCTACAAGGGAAAAAACCACTATCTTGAAATTAGAGAAAAATATGAATGACTAACACTAAGTAGCAAAGAACACCATCACAGTAAGCCCCTGGTTTCATGTAAACATCGAGTTGACGTAATTTTTTAAAAAAACTTTGTTTGTTTTTCAGTTTTCTAAGCTGTAGACAAAGACCGGAAGAGTTATTTTTCATCACGAAACAGAGTACAATATAACCAACCTTCACAACATGTAAGAAAATGATCAAGTGAGGAGAGAGAGAGCCTGAGAAGAGGGGAAAAAGTAGAAGGCAGTCATAACCTGCACATCTCATGGAACAGGCAGTCAAAAGCAAGAGACTATTGCCTATGGAGTAAAGACAGACATGTCGGAAATAATTTATAACTCAAGGAAAGCTAAAGGAGTAGCAAGAAGTAGTAGGTGTCTCCCTCTCAATGGGAATGGACACTCAGAGTGAGTTAGCTGCTGTGTGAGGTCTATTCTTCCCTGTACCCTTCCATCAACACAAAACATGACCTCACAGCTGCAAAACAGTACTGGCAGAGACCACTATATATGTTTAAGAGTGGAGGAAAGGAAGAGAGAAAGACAAATATTGGCCAGAAACTCACTTTTCATTGTAAGTCTAATTCTGTTTAATTTTTGAGTGCTCTTTCATTTAGAAAATATTATTTTGCAATAATTTTAAATGTATAGAAAATTGGCAAAGATATTACAGAGATTTCTCATAATCCTCATCCAGTTTTCCCCATTGCCAAGTTTTGACATAACCATGGTATATTTAGCCAAACTAAGAAACTGACCCTAGTCCATGATTATTAACTGAAATCTAGGCTATACTTGGATTTCTCTAGATTTTTCATCAATGCCCTATTTATATTCCATGGCAAATCCAGCACACACCTCTGCATTAGCTGAGATATTTTCCATTGCTTCCTGGTACATGGCAGTTTTTGAGTTTCTTTGAATGACCTTGATAATCTTGAGAAACAGTGGTAGGGTCCTGTGTAATGGCTCCTGATCTGGATTTGTCTGTTGGTTTTCCTCACAATGGAATGTGGTTGTGGCTTTGGTGCAATGCCCATGTCTTCATACCATATCCAAAGTATACAGTAATAAGAGTTACTGT